CTGCTGAATCGCCTGTATGTGGCAGGGTCCTCGTGAGGGACAGCCATCCCTTTACTCATGCATTTGCACATGGGGCGGGTCAGCATGTAGCTAGGCCATGATGCTAACATGGGTAGCTCTGGCTCGGTCAGTCCTGGGGGAGGGGTTGCAGGGTGTCTACCGTCCTCTAAAACCCGACTCTGTCTTCAATCCCAGCTGCATCATGGATTAAGAAAACAGCAGGCCACGTCCCGGGAATGCGGACCCTGACATACCATCACCCCTCCGGGAGAAGCAGACGCCCTCAAATTAAACACGGTGTTTCGGAGTACAAGTGAGTATAAAGTTGGAGCAGAAGTCTGCTACTGGAAAACCAAGTAGGTTGTTGACCTTCTCTTTGTCACCAGAGTGGGGCGGGAGTGACAGGGGGTGCCCGTGAGTGGACAGGGAACCACTTTGGGACCCACTGTCTTTTAACCTGCAGGAGATGCTTTCTTGGTTCCAGAGCGGCTGTCCACAAACAACGCAGCTCGCGTGGGGCGGAGGACAGGAGCCGGTGTTCCCAGCCTAAGCGAGTGCCGCCTTGAGGGTCAGTCCCGTCCTTCCCACCAGCCAGGACTGAGGCAGTTCTCACCTGCAGATGTGGCTTCTCGCCTCCTTCCGCAGACCTGGCTCAGCCGTCTCCCAGCCGCCGCCGCATCTGCCTGGCCCTCCTCCAACGTCCCTCTCGAGGCCACGCTGGCCTGTGCGCTCGCGGGCCTGGGCGGAACGTCACGCCCCACTCGGGCGCTCCAGCGGTCTGCTGTGTGGCCTCACGGCGAGTGACATGGACACAAACACCTCTCCGGTCCCTGCGCTCCACTGAGGTGGCATCATAAAAACCTTTGCTTGTATTTTTCCTTTCGGATTCTAAAAGTAGTAAGACCATTAAGAATAATTTGGGGGGACCAGCAGTTAGCATAATGGCTATGTTGCTGGACTCCCACGTAGGCGACCGCGGTTCGCGTCCTGGACCCGGTGGCTTCAAACTCACGCTGGGCGCGTGTGTGTGTGCCCAAGATCCCGAGAGGAGAATGGAGGAGAAGGGATTGCGGCGTGGCCATCCCCCCGGGGGTGATTTCTCACTTTCTGTCTCTCTGTCTCTCTCTGTCTGTCTGGAGAGAGCATGCCCCATAGCAAAAACCTCTCCCTCCCCCCCCCAAAAAAAAGAATTTGGAACACACAGAAAGATGCACCTGAAATAGAAATGATCTGTGCTGTAAACAGAAGCGCTGAGGACATTTTAGTGTGTATCTTTGCCACCTCTTACTGTGAATACAGAGAGAACGTAAATAGATCAGGGTTAGCCAGTGGCTGCTTCAGGCAGCTGGGTCCCACATGGCTGAGGGCACAGTTCAAGCCCCTGGGGTGTGCTGGCTGCCCCAAATCTCAGCAGGAGAATGGAGGAGAAGGGATGGCTGCGTGGATCCTCCCTGGTGGGCTCTCTTCCCAGCCCCAACGTTGGAAATGCATGTGCCCCATAACACACTTGAAGGAAGAAAAAAGCAAATAGATCATGCTTCTTTTCTGCCTCTCTCACACACATGAATACATAGATATGATATACAGATAAATGCATTTTACGAAGCTTTTCTTATTTAAAGGAAAATATTTTAAACTTTATACTTCAACTCCAGCATACGTATGCTGGGGTTATAAATCACTTTGGCGTATATATATCAATTAAAAAAAATAGCAGCTGTGTACCTTCCGCACATTTCAGGAAGCAGAACATTCTTGATTCACTTATCCGAAGAAACCTATATATCCCATGGGTTGTGACTTTCTCCTAACCACTGTTATGCACTGTGTAGCAAACATTCTTGCTTTTCTTTATAGAACAAATGACATATATAATGCATATATGTATGTATGTATGGACATATACACACAGATATATCACTTTTTCTTGAAATGTAACATACAAAAAAATAAACTGCAAGTATGCTTGATGAATTATCCCAAAATGAACCTACTAGGGTAACTAGCACCCTAAAAAGAAAGGCATTCGGTGGCATTGTGGTGGAGGTGCTGGACTCCCACGTGTCTGACTGCGGTTTGAATTCTCAACCCAGCAGTTTGAAACTTAGGCTGAGTGTGTATGCAAGAATGCCCAAAGTTCCAAGAGGGGAACGGAGGAGAAGGGGTTGCAGCATGCCTGTCTCCCGTAGGGGGTAATTTCTCATTTTCTGTCTCTCTCTGTCTCTCTGGTGAGCACCCACAGCCTAGAGCAAAAAATTTCTCAAAAAAGAGAAAGAAGAAAGAAGAAGAAAGACATTCCTAGCACCCAAAAGTCCCTTCCAATCACTACTCCTTTTCTATTTCCCAAAGGTAAAGATTGTCCTGGCTCTACCACCATAGTCTAGTTTGTCTGACTTTTAATTTTATAAAAAATAGTTTATATAGAAATATTATAGTTGTTTTGCCATCAATAGTTATCTTTTATGAAGTGCACTCAAAATAATTACTAAATTTTGCTTCATGGGAGAGAAAAGGGAACACCATCACCTGGTTCAGACATTCTCACCTCCGATCTCTCCTACCCTTCTCCTACCCTACTGCGTCCAGGTGGGTGTAAGGGTCAGCTGAGAGGAGGTGCCGGAAGCACCTGCTGTGTAATAAGCAGGTGTGGATACCCAAGATCCCAGGAGGAGAATGGAGGAGGAGAGACTGTGGTGTGACCATCCCTGGTATGTGTGGGGGTGATTTCTCACTTTCCTTCTCACTGTCTCGGGCTCTTTCTCTTTTTCCAGTGCATGCTCTGTGGTGAAACAAATAAATAAACAGGCGTTTCAATCTCTCTCGCACAGTGATATTCTCCCTACTACCCAGCACAGCCCCTATCACTAATGGATCTCCAACTTGCCTCCAGACCCGTTTGTCTAAATAATTCCTAACATTGTAAACAATTTTATGAGTTTTGACGGTAATCACTATATAATCAAGATTTAGAGCACTCCTATCACCTGAAAAAAAAACGTAAAGAGGGGGGGGTTAGCCAGGGGCTGCTTCAGGCAGCTGGGTCCCACATGGCTGAGGGCACAGTTCAAGCCCCTGGGGTGTGCTGGCTGCCCCAAATCTCAGCAGGAGAATGGAGGAGAAGGGATGGCTGCGTGGATCCTCCCTGGTGGGCTCTCTTCCCAGCCCCAAAGTTGGAAATGCATGTGCCCCATAACACACTTGAAGGAAGAAAAAAGCAAATAGATCATGCTTCTTTTCTGCCTCTCTCACACACATGAATACATAGATATGATATACAGATAAATGCATTTTACGAAGCTTTTCTTATTTAAAGGAAAATATTTTAAACTTTATACTTCAACTCCAGCATACGTATGCTGGGGTTATAAATCACTTTGGCGTATATATATCAATTAAAAAAAATAGCAGCTGTGTACCTTCCGCACATTTCAGGAAGCAGAACATTCTTGATTCACTTATCCGAAGAAACCTATATATCCCATGGGTTGTGACTTTCTCCTAACCACTGTTATGCACTGTGTAGCAAACATTCTTGCTTTTCTTTATAGAACAAATGACATATATAATGCATATATGTATGTATGTATGGACATATACACACAGATATATCACTTTTTCTTGAAATGTAACATACAAAAAAATAAACTGCAAGTATGCTTGATGAATTATCCCAAAATGAACCTACTAGGGTAACTAGCACCCTAAAAAGAAAGTTTTCCTGGGACCAGCAGGTGGCATTGTGGTGGAGGTGCTGGACTCCCACGTGTCTGACTGCGGTTTGAATTCTCAACCCAGCAGTTTGAAACTTAGGCTGAGTGTGTATGCAAGAATGCCCAAAGTTCCAAGAGGGGAACGGAGGAGAAGGGGTTGCAGCATGCCTGTCTCCCGTAGGGGGTAATTTCTCATTTTCTGTCTCTCTCTGTCTCTCTGGTGAGCACCCACAGCCTAGAGCAAAAAATTTCTCAAAAAAGAGAAAGAAGAAAGAAGAAGAAAGACATTCCTAGCACCCAAAAGTCCCTTCCAATCACTACTCCTTTTCTATTTCCCAAAGGTAAAGATTGTCCTGGCTCTACCACCATAGTCTAGTTTGTCTGACTTTTAATTTTATAAAAAATAGTTTATATAGAAATATTATAGTTGTTTTGCCATCAATAGTTATCTTTTATGAAGTGCACTCAAAATAATTACTAAATTTTGCTTCATGGGAGAGAAAAGGGAACACCATCACCTGGTTCAGACATTCTCACCTCCGATCTCTCCTACCCTTCTCCTACCCTACTGCGTCCAGGTGGGTGTAAGGGTCAGCTGAGAGGAGGTGCCGGAAGCACCTGCTGTGTAATAAGCAGGTGTGGATACCCAAGATCCCAGGAGGAGAATGGAGGAGGAGAGACTGTGGTGTGACCATCCCTGGTATGTGTGGGGGTGATTTCTCACTTTCCTTCTCACTGTCTCGGGCTCTTTCTCTTTTTCCAGTGCATGCTCTGTGGTGAAACAAATAAATAAACAGGCGTTTCAATCTCTCTCGCACAGTGATATTCTCCCTACTACCCAGCACAGCCCCTATCACTAATGGATCTCCAACTTGCCTCCAGACCCGTTTGTCTAAATAATTCCTAACATTGTAAACAATTTTATGAGTTTTGACGGTAATCACTATATAATCAAGATTTAGAGCACTCCTATCACCTGAAAAAAAATAACATCATGTCTCTGTAGTCAGGGCTGCTGACTGTTCCCAGCCCCGAGCAACTTCTGCTGTGGTTTTCATCCTTACAGAGTTATCTTTTCCAAATGTCAAGTCGATGGAATGATAACACTGCACGTGGCCTTTGGAGCCTGGCTTCATTCACGTAGTACATGCTATAATCTGAGTTCTCCCCCCAAGAGTCCTGTGTTCAGACGCTGTAACAAGATTAAGGATGAAAACTTAATCTGATTACAGTGTCAAAAAGAGGGGGCCTTGGGGAAAGGTTAGGGATGGTGGCTGGGGTGGGACCCAGAAGGAGGTACAGAAGTTAAGGCAGCTGGATCCTACATGGCCAGCTGAGCAGTCTGAGTCCCAGACCCCGCAGTGAAAAAATCACACCAGGCATGTGTGCGTGCATGCCCCAAATGAGAGGCAAGTGGAGGAGAAGGAATTGTGGGTGGCCATCTCCTCTAGTGAATGAGTTCTCCCTTTGCATTTCCTTGATTGCCAATGGCAGTATCTTTTCATGTGCTCATCTGCTATCCATGTGTCCTGTGGTGAAGTGTCCAGTCAAATCTTTCATTCGCTTCAAAAAACTTGAACTGTCTTATTACTGAATTTTGTGAGTTTCTTCATTAGAAGTTGTTTTTGTATTTATGAGGTATGCCATTTGCAAATATTTACTTCTGGTTTGTGCTTGTCTTTTCATTCTATTAGTGTCTTTCTTTCTTTTTCCAAAGCTTATTTATTTATTTTTTGGGGGGAGAGAGGTGCTCTAGACAGGTATCTTCTCCCCCAACCTTCCAGCCAGGAGGATCATGGGTAGATACAGGCACACCTGGCCCTTAGGTTGCTCCAGAGTTTGAAACTGGGCCTTCTAATTTTCACTTGGAAGCT